GACAAGCGATACACTTGTGCCCGGATAAAAGCAATTACCAAGCAAGCGTAGCGGCGGAGCATCTATTATATTATACATACTCCAACTCCACACTCGTACATTGGTGAATTGCGTCAAAGTACAGTATTGTCTGGCTTTGTAGTTTGTATTGTTACGAGCATAACACGCGAACATGACTTTATCTCACATGAATAAATCCACGGGCACACCGACGGTATTCAATTATAATTATCTGGGAAGATGAATTTTATAAAGCCGGTAAAGCGCGGTAAAGCGCGAGCCAAACTCTTTCACAGAAATCACCGAAAGAACATATGCTTACTAAGTGGAAAGCATTAATAGGGCATATAATTTGTTTAAACTATAGGATAGAGTGAGGCTTAAAGTTTCACTGGTGAAATGATCTCCCAACATTATCTTAAAAACAAGTATAATATAGCACTTTTGAACAATACTATTTGAAAGTAAAGGTCAAAACATGAGTAACCAGCCTCTAACTCATATTGAGCAACATCGCTATCACGACTTACTAATTATACGACTTCCCGTAGGGTAAGTTATTGTAATGGGCCGAAAATCGAAATTGAAAATTTTTACATTTCTCGACGTTTTGAAGGTTTCTGAACATTTTGGCATACCTCATAAAAAATGGATGTGTGTGTATGTGTGTGTTTTCAAATTTCCAGTCACGTTTTCGGGCGCACGGATCAACCGATTTGAATGGTTCAAAAAACATTCGATTTCTATTGATAGGGAGAAGAGCTGATTAGTTTTTGGCAAAGGCAGGTCCAGCCGTTACGGAGATATGGACCAAATAATGCAGAAAATAGAAATCGAGTGTTGAGTGAACGGAGCATCCGATTTGAATGATCTAAAAAACATTCAATTAGTAATGATTGGGAGAAGTGATTATTAGTTTTCGGCAATGGCAGGACCAGCCATTTCAAAGATACAGAGCTAAATGTGCAAAAAATGGCAGTTTTTGAGAGAACTAAGCGTCCAATTCAAATGATTCAAAGAACTTTCAGCTTGTTTGAACAAAATAATTGATTTTGGTAAAAAAAAATTTGTATCATTTTTTTTTTTGTATATCGAAAATAATTCAGATTTAATTTTTGATTTTGACTATAGTTTTAATATACTTTAAACAAATAATTTCAACTTTGCAATTCTGTTTATATAAATCTTATAAATATTAGACAATGTTACAATATTAATAATAATCTATTTGAAAACATTCAGTATTCTTCGAACATTTCGTTACGGTACGGGAAGTTCCAGCAATTTGACTTAAGGCACGATGCCATACACCCCACTAGTTTAATCTTTTATTGCAAATCTAATTTTTACTGCAAGTTTTTGTTGTTGTTAACATTTTTGTTTTGAGTACTGTTGTTTAGTTTATCATACATAGATAAGTATATTTCTAATTGATTTATGAGATGAGTTTTTATTTTTATGTTAGATTACCTTATATGTGGTTGGAGTAAAAATAGGGAACCATATTTATTTAAGTCAAAACCGGGACAACAATTTTTAGCGATGCTAATCCGAGACGGTGGAGGGGGGTCTCTAAAATAACCTAAATAGAATTTTAAAATAACAAATATACTATTTGTGGATACAATAAAAGGGGTTTTAGTAATTTTTTCAATCAGAAATACGGGCTCCTAGTAAGAACTTTCATATTCGATTATGTATCTACTTATATATTCTTCGATCCATATGATTTTTGTCTTTTGAGTCTTGTATAAAATTTTGTTCAATTCTCTTCACAACTAACTTATTGAAAAAATTAAAATATTGAAAAAATTAGCACTTGTGCAGGATAGTCAAAAAATTACTCTTTCTAATTTTTATAATTTTCTTATTACTTTTTTCAATTTTGTGTAATTGAAAATAAAAGTTAGAATTTATAACTGCGAGAGGCTTTTTTATCACGCCTTTATATTCCGCAATTTACTTTATAACGTATTGTTTCATATAAGCATACTCGTTGTATATATCATTTTAATATATTCAAGGGGTAGTTATAATTTTATTATCAAGAAATTGCAAAAATTTAATTTAAACCTATACTTCTCGAAAACCCGAAACAATCCGGGACAAAAGATCTAAATCCGGGACAAATATTGCTTCTGAAAAAACCCGGGACACAAAACAAGTGGAAATCGACCAACCGGAACCTTAGTAAGGACTTCCAATAAGGATAAAGTAAATATAAAAGTAAAATATGTCAAAAATCAATCTTATAAGAAATGATTTTAATTAATAGTTTAAATTTAATTAATCGTTATTTCACTCTGATGATGAATTCTTCTGACAAAGTTCAATGTTGTATGCAATTAGACAGTGTGATTTTCGAGAAAATGTGCTCATAAAATATATATTTTAAGCAGAAGTGATACTCAATTTATTTGCAATAATTTTATTTTTAGAAGTAATGAGTATAATTACTCCAAATTGAACAAATACCTACAAAAACAGGAATGATAGTAGTAGAAGTTGATAAATATTTCTGCTTATGTTTAACAATAAATATTTAGAATATAATTTTTAATTATGCTGTTCAATCTCAATTAAAATATATTGAATTTTATAATAATTATTTCATCTAATTAAACTACATCGCATTAAATAAATAATGTAGCTAATTTCTTTTTTTTTCAAATTAAAAATAAAATAGTGGTTCTTCTTGCCTCCTGGCTATACCCTTTTACCTCAAAAACCAGGTATCAGATTTTATGAAAATAGCAAAAAAGCAAATCTCTACAAAAATGAATTAGTATAATTAGGAAAAGCCAGACCTACCCTAAATAACAGAAAAAAAATATTTATTTTGTATTCTATTACATTAGAAGAATAATGGAGCTATTATTTTTTAAAATCTCTTCAGAACTAAAATAAGACATTGAACCTGTTGGCCCCTTGGCCGTCTCAAATTTTGGCCGTCGCAAAAAAGCAAATCACTACGTCCGTCCTACCCTACTATAATTTACCTCCGTATAACATAATATACCAGAAATAAAACTTTATTTTAAATGCTTTTTTATTTACGTTATTCTAATCTAAATCAAAAAGTTGCAAATTACTATCAGTTTCTAAAAAAATGTTATTAACAAATCTACTGCTATTTTAATAATTAATAAAGAATATATTATATATAATAAAAAACGATGCATTTATTTCGATATAAAATTTTAGTACCTTAAATCTTGTCAACTTTCATATAGTTGAGATATATTTTATGAAACTAATCATATCAGAAACTACAATAATGCTTGCGGAAATGAAATTATTCTCCTATCTCGGCAACGCAAAGCGAACAATCGTGGTAATAGAAGGTGGTACAGTAAAGGGATAAAGGCATTGTGTGTGGGCTTACATGCATATCATAATACCATAATATATGCCATATTAATCTAGATATGTAACAAAGATTAAAAAATGCAAATTAATTTTGGTACTTTTATCTTTCAACACCCTTTGAAAATTTTGGCACGCTTTGGAAAGAACCGAATCATATATGCTTATGTGTTTAGTATCTCTATATGTATATGTTTATGTATTTATAGATTTACCTAATTTTCAGAAAAACGGTTGAATTTGTTGAAAACACTTGATTCGTATATTTAATGCTACCGCTAAATTTTGGTGAAATCAGATCAAGCTGATTTTCAGAAGAAAACAGTTCTTTTATGATGGTTTTATGGCCCAAATATGTTCGTAATATACATGGATAATGAAATATTAAGTGTTTAATACAAAATTAAAGTATACCTACTCACTTTAATCAAATTTTGGAATCGGTATCAATATTAGAATTATCTAAATACAGCTAAAATTCACGTTTAGACATATCAAGAACTTTGGGCAATTCACGTTTGAACTATTTCAAATTTCATTCAGGATTTTGAAAAAGAAAATTTAACATAGGGCGCAAAGGTCTAATTTGATTTTGGGCAATAATATTGTAAAACCAAACCAATTATATCACAACCTATAACATAACTATCTGACTATGTTCAATAACATTCCTAGCTAATTCATCATTGAAAAAAAGTGTTTTCTTTGCATTTTTTCAAAAATTTATCTCCTGGTCCTTTTTACCCTTTATGGTTGTTAAAATCGAACGGTCAAGGAGCAAACAAATCGAATGTCTTGTTTTTAATTTTAAAGAGATTTTATGAAATAATAGCTACGTTATGCAACCAATGCTAAATATATATTCATGGGTACATTTTTTTACAGAGATAACACTGTATATAACCTTGATCTGAAATTTTGTCAAAAATAATCATAAGCTGAGTTAAAATAAATATTTATTTAAATGATCTCTTGTGAAATTGCTTTTTAAAACTTTATTATTTGTTATTGTTTACACTTCTGGTGCTTTTTACCCAAACGACTAAAAATAAAGAAAACTACCGAATCTAACTTCAAAAGAACAATTTCATTAAACAATTTAATAAAATATGCCTAAAAATTATATTAATTTAATTAAGGTCACGTAAACTAAAGAACAATGCTCATAACCAAAAAACTAACTACAAAAGAAAATACTTTGGTTATGGATTTTCAAACATTGCCGTTCATCTTTCTGCGGACCTTTAAACCCCGCTCTATCCTAAGTATAATACCAAATAAACATAGAAAACCATTAAATACTAGATTAAAACCATATCGATATTTTTGCAGTAATATTCTAAATACTAATTTAGAATTTATTACTAAAAACCAAAGTATTAAAACAAAAAGAATTTTCAGAAAATTCATGCTTTCAAAATGCTAATATTGGATTATTTTCTTAACCTCGTCATTTACCACTCTTTGTCTCGTGCTTTAGTAATAATTTTCGTATTGTTTTTGTAGATTTTAAAATTTAATCAATGTATAACAATAATTTCGAAATATTTACCTTAAGCATCACGTTATAAATGTCTAGTTTGAGAAAAATTTTAGAAAAAAAAAATCAATCAATATATGCTATATTATCTCACCTACTCCCACGATGGGTTTAGTTGCCATGTCTTTCAGAAGTTCATCGACGAATGGTGAATTTTCAGGGTACAGTTGCGTCCTTGTTATACCGTACTGATATTTTGCCAAACTGTGAGAATCTGGTCTGTAATAGAAAATAATTCATAAAAATAACATTAGAAATAATGATAGAATATATGAATAAAATTTTATTTTTGACTGCATCTAACAATTTTTTTCATTCTTTATTTTATTTACAACTGTCCAGTTTAGGACATTTAATAAATTTGGGGAATTTATAATTTTCAGCATTGAAAGGACATTGTATACTAAGGGCATGTTGGAAAAACTACTAAATAGTTGTTCTTCCATTCGTTATAATATTAACAATATTTTATTGATAATGGTATAATCTTAACTATTTACTAATAAAAAACTTCTTATAAATAATGACTAAGTTATTTCAATCTTTATCAGGAAAATTGATGACTTAAATCCAGTGGCTATAAATTAACTATATTTAAAACACTTTCATTCAGATACTTTAATTCTCGTACCCAAATCATTTCTCATTCACTACATAATTATAAGTAGATTACTAAATTATTATCTACAACTTCTAACTGATATAAACATAATTCTTTGGATTAATTTCTAATAATGTGAAAAAAATTCAATCAATATCATCAAACTTTAAGATTTATCCCTTAACATTATTAACAAAAAATTCCAAAAGTAATTCTATTTTTTTAACAAAAAGTAACATAAATTATATTATTATAGGTATTATAGATAAGGGAGACTGGGTACGGTTGTACCAGGTAACGATAATGAAAGTCGTCATAATAGCTAAACTATACTGATTTTAGATAGGGTTCAAAGGAAGAAAGATGAAGTGTATTTGTTCAAAAAAGTTTTTATAAATCGATTTGGTGTTTATAGCTATTGTTTTTTACCCATTTCTATTCCTGTCACAACCGTCCCTCGGGTGTGCATCGTTGTAACACACGCGCTTTTCTTGTATGATTTGATTTTATGACTAATCCATCGTATTTAAAGACAGTATTTCCTCGTAGACAAATGTCAAAATTACCATTTAATTTATTTTTTACGAGCCAACTGGTAAATTAACAAAATTATTGCTGATCAATAAAATGGCACAATCGTACCATGGGAGACTTGCAAGTCTCCCCTACTTATGCTTATTTCAAATCAACTAAATTAATAAAAAATAAATATTTGTTAACATTCGATTATAACTAAAGAACGCTGCGGAAAGTTCCAGCAATTTGCCTTAAGGCACCATGCCATACACTGCTAGTTTAATGTTATTGTCGTTTACAAATATATTGTAATTACAAATATATGTAAGATATTTGTTTTAGTTCTCTTCGATTCAAGGTAAAATCCAGAGTTTTAAAATACAGTTCGAAATAAAAGTTTCTTCTCATTTATACGTTAAATGTATGCGCACATGCTAATTATTCCACAAACAAAACGATTATGATATTTCAGTCGTTATTGAATAATCTGTAGAACTATGTTCAAACAATATTTCAGTGTTTTCTTATACAATATTTCATATTGATTGTGAAAATTTTATTACAAAAATACATAGTTTATAATTGAATCATTATCAAGTTATGTACTACTGGTGTTGAATAGAATTTGCTGTATACAGTAGTATTTCAGACACATGTTATTGCAATAATCATGCAAAGTATATAAATTTACAGAAATACTCATTTTGAATCATATCTCTCATGTGGTCAGTTTTCGTTTTTTGGGGTCTAAAAATACATTATACACAATCAAATTTCTATAAAACCATATCCTGATTCATTCACCATATATTCCAGAAAACAATCTAAATTGTACAAATTTTACCAGCACGTATTATGCGGTTTAATTTTAATTTGGTCGTTGTGTAAATTGTGCAAGAAAAGTGGCCCGGACAGCCGCAAAAGATCTGCATATCACTGCATTAGATTGATTTCTTGACGTGGGACTATAAAAAAAGATATTACTGAAAATTGCATATTTTCTATATAAACTAAATTTATATTTACTATGGGAATGCCAAATAAAGACACGTTTGTATGATTTATATTACGCAATTTCACGTTCACGCTAATAGAAGATTACTGAAATAGTTACATACAAATTTGAAGCTTTTACTCTTATGTTCTTGGTAAAGTAATTTTAAATTAATTGAGTGGTGTGCAAATGTATCGGTTGCACGCAAATGCCAGAATTGTATTGCACAATTTTGATCCGATTATTTTTTATAGAATTGTATCATTTCTAGTAGAAACTGATAATAATACGATGATAGCATTGGATGATAAAAAGAGCGAATAATTTCTGAACTTTTTTTTTCATTTTATAATTACTTCAACAGTGAACTTACTTATCAATTGTTTCAATTATTAACTTCCCGTAGGATAAATTATAGAAATCGCAAGAAAAGCGAAAATGAAAATGTTTGTAATTTTACGTTTCAGAGGCTACAGATGTGTGTGCATGTGTGTGTGCGGATACAAATTTTCATCGACGATTACGCGAACACTGATTAACCGGTTTGAATAATTAAAAAAAAAAATCCTACTGAAAAGGAAACGTGCTGATTAGTTTTTGGCAATGGTGGGTATAAAAAGTTTCGGAGATACGGGTCAAAAAGTGCCAAAAATGGTAACTGAGCGTCCGATTTGAATGTTACAAAAACATTCTGTTTGTATTGACGAAATGAACAACTGGTAAAATTTTTGTAAAGGCAAGTCCAGCGTCTCCAAAGATTCAATAAAAAGAGTAAAAAATAATGCCATTTGGCGGTCAAAAATAAACACTAGACATATGTACATCGTATTATCAGATATTTTATGAAGATTATAAAAATGAGGATAAATTTTGTGTACTTTTATATGGGTTCCGTACCAATTTTTACATGTTTACATTTTTGCAAAGTTTTTTTTAATAGTTTAGTTTTCAGTACAAAAAGTTCCAGCAATTTGCCTTAAAGCACAATGCCATACACCACTAGTTTAAATTTATTTAAACTGACGCACCACAATTCAAGCCAAGTTATTAAGTTGGTTTAATTACCATATATTATTATATGAGAAAGGTAATTAGTAGTATTTAGTAAGTATTTAGTATGTATCAACGAATAGAAACAACATAGCCAAGATTTTCTAAATAAAAATCTTGAATGAAAAATACAAAATTTTAATTTAGTTTCTTTCATTTCGACTAGTTTTCGTCAATTTTTTTTGCTATAAATGAAATTAAATATCCTGTTATATATAACAATTTAAAATTTTCATAACAATGAAATAATTTAACAGATTTAGAAAATAATAACAAGCTTTTGCAATATAGGATAGATTAAAAAAGAAAGAATTGATTTTTTATACGATTTTATATGAATTGTAGAAAGATAAATTTATAAAGGAAATATACTGTTTGCTAATTATGAAAAATTTGTAAGTCATCATACTAAACTATGTGAAACTATCAATGTAAGTTTAGTTTTAGTAATCAATAATTAAGTAACAAAAAGAAAGATTTGTAATATTTATATTTATAATGATATATAAAAAATTCCAGGATTCTAAATAATATAAACGTATCTACAAGTTTTAAAGCTTATAGTTTGCATATTAACCTGGTGATTTTTTAAATAAATAAATTAAAAAAATTCATATAAAAAATAAAAATATTGATTTTAAAACTAAAAATTAAAATACATTGGTTTTAAAAGATTTACCTCATAAAAATTCACTAATATTGTACAGAGAAATCAAGACCAAGGGAAATGAACTATCATCTGTTAAGATATCAGTACATCAAATTTTAAGATATTAATTTTGCTAGAAATGATAATTTGTAAAACGTTTAATTTATTTGGTAAGATTTTCTTTTTTCTCGGTTGATCTTTATACTTTCACAAATGAATTAAATTCCAAAGAAACAATAAAACTGTAATATATGTATATATATATATATATATATATATATATATATGTATATATTTAAGTACAAGTTCTAGACATGCTATAGTTTCTCACCTTTGTCGACCGTTCTCATACCTGTTCAACGCAAACGAAAGTGGCAAAAAGTGTATACAAATTTTCTATTGTATTCCAAATTCCGTACGAAGAAACAATATAAATCCAGACAAAAATGTCGTGTACAATAAAATGATACACGCAAACTTAGTTTAAAATTCATTTAAATGATGTAATATACTATGATAATTTGTTTCTATGTAAGTACGCAAAGCGTTTACTTAATAGTCATTACACTTAACCCTATATGGGCCAAATTTTTGTTTAATATGCAAAGGAATTAGGACACCATAAAATCAGTATGTATTCAAATAAAAAACAAAGAAATCTGTTCCAACGATTTTTTTGGTATTAATGAATTATGGGACTTTCAATTTCAAGTCACTGCGGCCTATAATGTTCATCCTTCTGTGTATGAAAATGTTATTTAAGGTTGAAGAACTTGTCAAAGGTGTAAAGTATTGATATTGGTTGTCGACAACCATTTAAGAGAAAAATACAATCAATTGATCAACATTTGAAATAATATAACTATTGTAGAATCCTGTGATATAAATTTAATCTACACGAGTTTTAAAGTCCTGTGAATTATATTTAATAACTTATATTAGAATGAATCAGCCCCTTTAGTAATCAATTCCAGAAACAAAAAGCAATAAAACTCTACATATATAAATACTTGTAGATTTATTAAGCCGAGAGGAATGTTGATTTACATATCGATATAGAGTAGGGTAGGGCACCAAGATCCAATTTGACTTTGAGCAATTATATTGTGAAAACCAAACTGATTATATCTCAACAAATAACACATATCAAACCAACAATTATATGACTATGTACAGTAAAACTCCCAGCTAATTCATATTTGTAAAAAATTGTTTTTTGCTGTTTTTTCTAAGATTTTCCTCCTGGTCCTTTTTACCCCATAGGCGAATGGACTGTCAGTGGTCATTGGACAAACAGAACCAATTAGTTTTAATTTTAGAGAGATTTTACGAAATAATAGCTACAATATTCAACCAATGCAAAATATAAATTTCATGGGTATATTTTTGACAGAGATCGGTATATTTTTACATTGATCTGGTATTTCGTCAGAAATAATTATCAGCTTAGTTGAAATAACTATTTATTTAACTTATCTTGTAAAATTATTCTTATAAAATTGCTCTTGTTAACTTAATTTACTTTTTATTTACTACGTTATATTGTTTACAAATTTTCCGGGGTAAAGTTGGTCCTTGTCACTCCCCCACCACAAGTAAATTTTTATAGAGGTTGTATAAGAAAAATGTAGAATCTAACTAAAATGTTATTTAAGTAAAACCATTATATTTATAAAACATTTAGATAACCTATATCTGAAAGTTATCTCAACCAAAAAAACTAACAGGGTTTTCAAACATTGCCGTCTCCTTTGAAATATTGTTGTTAAAATTTTTTTAACTTTACTTGTTTTTGAGGTGGTAGAGCCTTGTTCTACCCTATATCACTAAATAAAGCAAAGTTTATTCACTTTTTTATAATGACGGATTAATCAATTACCTACAGTCAACTAATCAAACACTTGATACCTACCATTAGCAACAATGAATCAAGAAGATCTAAATTAATATTATAAAAATCTTAAATCTGGTTATTACCTTATTATTAATGTAAGTTTAAAACAGTCTTTTGCTTTAAACAAAATTAAAATATTATAAATATTATTAAAAATAACTAATATTGAATTCATTTAATTTATTTAAATAATCATCTTTTCTTTCTCAAAATTCTGGCCTGCCATTTACTTTTTAACTTTCCGTAGGGTAAGTTATAGTAATCGCAAAAAAATCGAAAACGAAAATTTTTATATATCTTTACGTTTCAAAGATTTCTGGATATTTTGGCATACCTTAGAAAAAATTTATGTATGTGCAGAAACAAATTTTTGTCGATGATTTCTGGAACACCGCTTTGACTAATTCAAAAACCATTAGATTTATATTGATAAGGAGAGCAAAAGTGCCAAAACGGTAACTCAGTTTTCAAGAGGACGGAGTGCCCGATTTTAGTAATTCAAAAAACGGTTATGGACTCTCAATAAAAATAAGTTAAAAAAACGCCTGTTGGCGGTCAAAAATGATAATAGACATATTCAAATCAAATTGTCAGATATTTTATAAAGATTTTCATAATGTGTACACATTTTGTGTAAATTTTATTGGGTTCCGTACCAAGATTTTTAAATTTGAAGTTTATTTATATGGTTCAAACAAAGGTTCTCGACATTTTCGACAGTGGTATAACCGATTTGTATAATTTAACAAACATTCGATTCATATTGATAAGGAGACGTGCTGATTAGTTTTTGGCGGAGGCAGGTCTAGATGTTCCGAAGATGCGGGACAAAAGGCGCCAAAAACGGTAACTCAGTTTTTAAGAGAACGGAGCGTCTGATTTTAATCATTTATAAAACATTTTACTTGTATTAACAAGATGAAAAACTGATTAAATTTTTGGGATGGATGGTCTAGCGATTATGGACCCTTAATAAAAGTAAGTTAAAAAATGTCATTTGACGTTTATTGGACATATGCACATCAAATTATCAGATATTTTATAGAGATTTTAATATTGTGTACACATTGTGTAAATTTTTTTGGGTTCCGTACCAAGTTTTTTAATTACAGTACGGAAAGTTCCAGCAATTTGTCTTAAGGCACAATGCTATGCACTCCACTAGTTGTATTCTGCTTAAGTAAAATATTCTACGATACGTATATTTTTGATTGTATTCACAATGAATATAATCACAATAAACAATTTACTAATCATACAATTATGTTCGACTTACCCCAATTCCAGACCAAGAAGTTCGCCCATAGTTCTAAGACGCGTCGACGGTCTGGCTTTGCTGTCATCGCGGATGACTTCGGCCGCCGCCAGCGGAGGCGCCGGACCGCTCGGGTCTCCAAATTTAACAACCAACCTCTGGAGGTCCGTGAAAGGGTCATGAGGTGCGCTCGTCACGGGCTTATTTGGCGACACTTTTGTTTCTGTCTCGCCGTATCCTCTATGATGAACCGACCCTTTCTCACGGGATGTTTTGCTGCAATTAAGAATAGTAATTATTAGCTATATGTGAATGATATATTTTTTACAAAATATGGTTCTCGTGATTCCAGTAAGATGTGATATTTAATCAAAATTCAAAACTTTGGTCGTTTGTCCATTCTCAGTTATCAAAGCCTTTTTAACTTCCCGTAGGGCAAGTTATAGTAATCGCAAAAAAATCGAAAATGAAAATTTTTATATATCTTTACGTTTCAGAGGTTTCTGAACATTTTGGCATACCTTAGAAAAAATGGATGTATGTGTGTGTGTGTGTGTGTGTGTGTATGTATGTATGTCTGTGCGTGTGTGTATGTATGTGCGGATACAAATTTTCGTCGACGATTTCGGGAACACGGATCAACCGATTTGAATAATTCAAAAAGCATTCGATTCGTATTGGTAAGGAGACGTGCTGATTAGTTTTTGGCAAAGGCAGGTCCAGCCGTTCCAAAGATACGGGGCAAAATGTGCCGAAAACGGTAACTCAGTTTTTAAGAGAACGGAGCGTCCGATTTTAATTTTTAAAAAACATTTTACTTGTATTGACAAGATGAAGAATTGATCAAATTTTCATGAAAGCAGGTTTCGCGGTTTCGGAGATCTAATGATAAAAGTGAAAAAAAATGCCATTTGGCGGTCAAAAATGATCATTAGACATATGCACATCAAATTATCAGATATTTTATAAAGATTTTAACAATAAGTATAATTTTTTTTTACATTTTTATGGGTTCCGTACCAATGCTTATCGGTTAGACGGCGGCGCGGCAGTTGCGCGCTTTGACATTTTGTCTCTGTGCAGATAAAGCAGTACGATTGCTTTGAAAAACAGTTCAGAATTTCCAAAGTATGTCAAAATTTTTTTTCAAAAAAAGTAATTTTTTGTCAAATTTATAGTTTCTATCTAATTTTTTCGAAGTAAAATTTTTTCAAAAATGTTAATCGTTTTTAAAAAAATAATTTTTGGTACGGGAAGTTCCAGCAATTTGCCTTAAGGCACGATGCCTTAATTGCCTTAAGACAGAATTCCACTTACAGCTAGTTACAGTTCCGGTCGTATTTGAGTTGTGTACTGTATACATTAGAGTTTGTCGGTTTTCAAAAACCGGTTTTAAAAACCGGTTATTTGGCGAAAATTATGGAATTCAAAAACCGTTTTTTTAGTGAAAGAAGTCGGTTTTCACTGTATAAATGGAAAATGACAAATATAGCCAAATATAAAAGATAGATAAAAGCGTTTTGATTCTTGAAATCATATCGGTTCAATAGCATTTTGAATCTTATCAGCCTGCAATCAGTCCGAGAAAGGTTTTCTATATATTAATTTAAATTTTTATACCAGTGTATATATTAATTTAAATCAGTGCGGCTTCTTCTTGAAGAAGTAACTTCTTCTACTCAAACTTAAAAAAAAAAATTTAAACCCTAGAAGCCACAAATTAAAGAAAAAAAAACTTAGAATTATTATATCAGGCTTTAAAAAAACCATAATTTGGTGGCAAGTATGAAAGTATTTTCTATTTCAGGAAATATTGCGAGTAAACAAGGGACACGTCTAAGTAGCAATTCGATAGACGTTCTAAGTTTTTTTAAATCAAATTTTATTAAACAAAAAAACAATTAGAACTTTTAGAATTAATTAATTAAAATTACTCCGAACAGACAATAGCCGAGTTTAGCTTAATTGTTTTTAAAACTAAAATTGATATTAACAAGTATGTATCAACATGTATCTATTTTTTTTACTTCAATGAATTTTTTTTTTAATTTAAAAATGTATTATTTTAATTTATTCGAAAACTTTTCTTTCACTATCATAAAAATATTTTTATTCTCATATGTGAAAATGATGCATGAATAACGAATAATTATTTTCAAATTTACTTAATCCAGATAAACTATTATTTTTAGTTCTACTAATTAAAATTAAAATAATTTGGTTTCTTATCTATAGATAAGAAACCAAGTTATATAAAGTTGAACAATAAATAAATTCAGTCAAATACTGCTCTGAATTACACTAAATATGAGGATAAATTACAGAATATTCGAGCAAAAATTTATTTTCTATATAAAATTCGAAAACCGGTTAAAACCGGTTTTTCAGTAAAATTAAAATTTGAAAACCGGTTTTCTGAAATGTCCGTTTTTGTATAAACCCTAGTATGCATTCATACAGCGTTCAGTACTTATAAAGCATAACTTTATATAACGCACATTAAAAATAAAGACAAATTAAAAATTTTTATCAACGATATGGAGATAGAACAAGTAGAAAAAATTAAATATTTAGGTATGATCATAAATGAAAAACTAGATTGGAATGATCATATCGAAAAAATAAGTAAAAAAATTACAGCCCTCTCTGGAGCCATAAGGAGGATACGCCATCTCGGCATAAAAAAAGAGTTAATTCTAAAATCTCATATAATGTCGATATTAATGTACGGCCTGAAGCCACACCACTAATAAGAACATAAGGATGCTGCAAAGGATGATAAGCAAAACCATCAAAGCAACATACAATTACCCTCATCTCACTCCAACAGTTGAACTTTTAAACAGAACAAATAACCTACCACTACAGAAAACGATAGAAATTGAAAAATGCATTCTAATATTTAAAATGAAAAATACTAAAATCAAAACATGTACAACAATAGAAAGAAGCCAGGATATACACAAACATCACACTAGGCAGATTGAAAACTATCTTATTAAACACTCTAAAACAAATAAAGAACGTACCTTTAGAAGTGCAAGCAGCCTTTTCAACAAATTACCTACCGAAATAAAAATATTGACAAACTTGAAGAAATTTAAAACTGAATTAAAAAACTATACCAGATATAAACAAAATTGACCTTATTAGTTAAATGTGACTTTTATACTTGTTTTCTTATATAGATGTAATATTTTAAAATGAAATAATATAAAATACATAAATATATATGTATAGGCATAAATGTATAAAGCAATCCATAATCTCTTATACCAGGCACCAATGCCTGCCTGAGATATGGATATACTCGTATACGAAATGTATATATTGCTAGATAAATAAATAAATAAAAAAAATAAGTATGTTGAATAAAAATATTACTAAAGTTAATAAAATAATGATTAATTCTTGTTTACGCAAACTAAACTTGCATTATCTGCCTTATCGACGGAAAATAATTCCGAGTACTACGATACCATCTCCAAATTTAATTCGACCGAAAAGTTAAGTTTGCTTTCCATTGTGGGAGTAGTAATGATTATGATAATATATTTAATTAGAAACTCCCAACATAATAAAAAAATATAAATTTATTAACTGTAAAAATATTTCGATATCAAAAAAATACCTGACATGTCCGATTGTTTTTTACAAATCAAAACCAGCCTGCTTGATATCGCCACACCATGATCAAGTATGAGATCTATAGATTTTGTTTACAAAAGATTTTGTAATTATTAACTTCGATATTTACACTTTTTACTTTATTTATTTATTATTTTTAATTATGTTACACAAACTTGAATACCTTTATCAAACACACCCTCCTCTTGAGAATGTAGTACTTTAGCAGATTTATTTTTCATATTATTAACTTCCCGTAGGGCAAGTTATAGTAATCGCAAAAAAATCGAAAATGAAAATTTTTATATATTTTTACGTTTCAAAGATTTCTGAACATTTTAGCATACCTTATAGAAAAAATTGATGTATGTGTGAATGTGTGTGTGTGTGTGCGGATACAAATTTTTGTCAACGATTTCGGGAACCCGGATGAAGCGATTTGAATAATTCAAAAAACAATCGATTTGTATTGATAAGGACACGTGCTGATGAATTTTTGGCGAAGGCAGGTCTAGCCGTTCCGAAGATATAGGGCAAACAGTGCCAAAAAACGGTAACTGAGTTTTTAAGAGAACGGAGCGTCCAATTTGAATAGTTCAATAAACATTTTAATTGTATTAATAAGATGAAAAACTGGTCAAATTTTCATGAAGGCAGGTCTAGCGGTTTCGGAGATCTAGTAAAAAAAGTAAAAAAAAATGCCTTTAGGCGGTCATGATCATTAGACATATGCACATCAAATTATCAGATATTTTATAGAGATTTTAACAATATGTATAAATTTTGTTTACATTTCTATGGGTTCCGTACCAACGTTTATCCGTTAGACGGCGACGCGGCGCTTACGCGCTTCGATATTTCGTCTCTATGCAGTTAAAGCAGTACGATTGCTTTGAAAAAAAGTTCAGAATTTCTAAAATATTTCAAAATAAATTTTTCTTCAAAAAGTCTTTTTTTCAAAAAAGTTCATTTTTGTCAAAAATTTATAGTTTCTCAAAAATCTAAATTTTTCAGAGTAAATTTTTTTCAAAGATGTTAATCTTTAAAAAAAAAAATTTTGGTACGGGAAGTTCCAGCAATTTGCCTTAAGGCACGATGCCATGCGCCCCACTAGTTTTTAAACAAATCATGATAATGGCATACGAAACCCCCAAAATGTGTGTTTTTGTATAAAAGTTATGCTTTATTATTACTGAACGCTGTATGAATGCATACAGTACATTTTGAAAAAAAAATAGATAAACTGTTTGAAAAATCATAATATAGGGATTAATAATATTGTTCAATTCATGTTTTATAAACATTTTAAGTTTTTTGTTACCATACAAAATATCAATCTTTATCAATTATAAGAGGGTAATTTTTATGCAAATTACTTTTATGATTTAAGAAAAATGGACCTATTTTACGAAAACGTAGTTTACAACGTTTGGAGATTGATTACCATATAAGTAAAATGAAGTAAATGATTAAAATTAAAATATTAAAAATGAAAATTAATAATAAAATAATAAAATAATAAAAATTTAATGTTAATGATGCATAATTAAAAAGAAAGACGGAATCATTTAATACTGTGGATAATTATTTAAAAGGTGCAATCTTACATATTCACATTTAAAAGAACGTATTCTTTAATTACGCAGTTT